TCACATCTTTCTCCCACAGAACGGCTGGTATTTGAACCACTGCCCTTTTGGCGAACAGCTAAGTGCTTAACCAATACACCATGAGGGCTCCTTTATCACCTTAGTTGGGGCTGCTCACCAAAAGATCAGCGGTTCGAACCCACCAGCTGTTCCCCAGGAGAAAGATGTGGCAGTCTGCTTCCATGAAGTTTACAGCCTTAGAAACCCCAAAGGGCAGTTCTATTCTGTCCTACGGGGTTGGTATGAGTCTGAATAAACTAGGCAGCAATGGGTTTGGTAGGGGTAAAGTGATATCTCATTGTAGTTTTGATTTGCATTCCTCTGATGGCTAGCAATGTTGAGCATCTTTTTATGTGGTTGCTTATTAGGCATTTGTACCAGCCACTCCTTGGAAGGAAGGTTGTGCAATCTACTTCCGTAGTGATCCTGCCTCGGCAACCCAAGAAGGGGTCGCTATGAGTTGGATCCTACTCGATGGCACATAACAACAACAACAACATATATTCTCTGCAGAAGCAGTACAACTATTCAAAAGGAACTACAACTTGGTAGCAGGTCATATGTAATCTCACCTAAAACACTATTTGGTGAACTGAGGGTAGACCCGACCTCATGTGGCTACAACACGGCTCATCAGCAAACAAAGAGAAAGCTGACCCTCAATAATCCTGGCCTCTATGCATGATGATGTAATCCATTTTTATAAAGGAAACGATTTGATGAACTGGTCCAGGGTTTCTCAGAGTTACTGTACAGGTCTAGTGGGGCCTGAGGGTCTGCCTTTCTAACTCACTCCCAGGTGATGCTGATGGGGCTGGTCCCTGGGCCACACTTTGAGCTGCAGGGTTGTGGACATTTGTTGAGTCTTTACTCTCTGCCAGACATTGTGCCATCTCATTTACATGCATTATCTCATTCCAGTCTTATGACAATAGAAAATAACTCCATTTTATAGATGAGGAAACTCAAGCTTAGAGAAGTTCATTAACTTACCCAAAGCCACAGAGCTAGTTAGTGGTAGGGCTAGTTTTAGTACTCAAGAGACTATGGTCTCCTGGCTACTTCACCAATCCATCTCTCAAAAGAGTCTACTGACCTCCACAGCACACCAAGTAGATTTTTTTTTTCTCGTCCGCACACCCTCAGTCATAAAATATACTTACCTGTGACACCTAAAAGAAGCATAGTAATAGCAGAACACTGGTGGATAGAAAACGTTGTTAACTATTGAAGACATTCCACAAAGCCAGGAGATGGGAAGCAAAATGTAAAAAATCAGGAATACTCAAAGGCTGACCAACACCTCTTCAGGCATTTTCCTTCGTGCCACCAGCTTGGCCTCTTTTACCTGAGTCACTGGGCTGCTCAGAGAGCATGGGTGAACTTCTGCTTCTGGCTAAAGAAGCCTGTGTGGGTGTCAACAGTCGCATAACAAGAAAGATTTCCATGGGACTAAGGTGCATGCGATGAGCTGAGGGACGGAATCAAACGAAAACATAAAGCAAAATGGAATCAAAACAAAATAAAACGTTTAAAAACAGCACAGGGTAAGATGCAAATTAACTTGTGTGGCAGAACAAATGTGGTAAATAAATCAAAGAGAGTTTAGGAAAGGATAAAAGCAGCTCTGGTAGCACAGTGCCTAAGGCATTTGACTGTTAGCCAGAAGGCTGGCAGTTCAAACCCACCAACCATTCTGTGGAAGAAAGACTGGGCAATCTACTTGCATAAAGAGTTACCACTTTGGAAACCCAATGGGGTTGCCATGAGTCAGAATCAACTTGATGGCATTGAGTTTGGTTTTGCTTTTAGCAAAGGATGGCTTTGTAGTCTGTCATAGTAAGATAAAACAAATGTTGTATGATTTAGAGTTGGGGACATGCATTAATTCACTTGGGGTGCCCTATTATGGCACAGGGATCTATATCACCCTAATTAGCCCACCTCCCAAGATGTAATGTGAGCTTACGAAACCATTTACCCACCAAGTAGATCTACTAATAAAAAATCATTCCTTTTATAAAACACTGGTTTCAGATCCTCTATTAAGAAATATTTCATAACACACTGATTTGGCTCATGAAATACACAGTCTCATAACAGCATAAAAATGCATTATTTCATACTTTTTCCATGTAAATAAGGGCAAAAAATAAATGAGAAGCACAAAATAAAAACCAGTCACCTGATTATCAGCTTTGATGGAGAGAGTCTTATTTATAATCTAAAATACAGCAACCGAGATGTCATTTCTATGGTTTTGGAATGTATTGTTTGTATTACAATGGATTAACTTTTCCAAGAAATCACTTTATAGTTTTTGGGGATCCACTAAGTAGTAAACTGTTTACATTCCATAAGTAGATAATTCCATTGTCAACAACACAGAATAACATACTGTCATCCTTACATTTTAATCATTGCAAAAAAATGGATTTAACACCAATCTGTAACCATGTGAATTAATGAAAACATATGGACTACACTTGCTAATGGACCAGCTCTTGATCAGTTCAATACTTTCCGTGCTTTCACGTGGACTGCATCAGAGATAACCAGCTTCATGACACTCACATGGTCTCTGACACACAGGACATGCCTCTGGGATGGAATCATAAGGTCACTGCCAGTCAACCACAACCAGGAAGGTACACTGGCCTCCTTATCATCCCTTAGGAATGATAGTGACATGATAATTAGCACTTGGGGCTTCTTAAACAGTACTTTCCAATACACATTGAATACATGAGGAGTTTCTCTCCCTCCCTCCCTTAACCTACATACTCTAAAAGGTATAAATAAGTGACTTGTCTGAGCCTCTAGGAGAGGTGCATTAGAACATGGAAGGTGTCATATTTATTCAGTTTCTCAAACTGACACATGTCCTGTACATAGAACCTCCCACCTCAAAACAGAGCACCTGAAAAGGCTGCCCATTCCTTTCCCTTTTTTAAAGCCCTAATATTAGTTCTGAGCCTCTTCTTTCACTTAAAAAAATGGACAAGCCTGAAAACTACAAGGTAATTGTAAGGTCTAGTTTTTTCACATATTGAAGTCTCCCACATACCTGTGGGTCATCATTCCTGTTCTGTCTGACCAATAAACCATATGGCATCACTAACCAGGCAGTTAATTGTTTACCAGTCATATCTGCAACTGGTGAATTAATTCCTGGACAAACTAGAAGAATTTCTATCCCTATTCAGCAAGGAGCTAGCTCTTTCCTAAGTACCACTAGTATGGCCCTGAGACTCCCACGTTTAGAGCACAGCCTTAGGACAGGGTGGTATATGCAGAAGGTGCAAAAGGGGGCTCTCATAAAGGTCAGCGTTAAGATATTCACACAAGAAAGAAGAAACTGGAGAAACCAGGTCTGTAAGATCACTTGCCTCGCTCTGGAGAATAAGGTATTGCCACAGTGGATGATGATAGGCGTTTATTCATTGGAGGCTCCAACTGCTTTGGCAAGTTCATGGTTGATGTTGAAAGTTTATCACAAGCTGCAAAGAAATACAATAAAGACATTACTATTGACACCAATAAAGAGTACAGAAACATACCCCGAAGTACTCTTCCGGTCCTCCCCCACCCTCTTGAACCCCTGGGGCACAGCACACTGTGGTTCCTCCTCCGAGAGCTAACCATACTAATTTGGAAATGCCCAAGCTACAGCAGCCACTGTTCTGAAACAAGAGTGTCTCTTCCATTTCAAATGTTCAACCTCACTCAACTCTTCAACTAAAGCCAGGCTAATACCATCAGCAAATAATTTCCTTATGTCCAGTGATTTTTAAATATATTCCAATCACATGAAAACAAAACCAATCTAGACCCAGAGACAAATCATCACTGAAATCAGTTTATGGTCTGATTGAGAATATGTGCTGAAATTGGCCTTTATCTGAAGGTTATCTTAGCTCAGGTTGGAGAGGGATGCGATTGGTAATGTATGGAGCTGTTATCTGAAGCAGGATGGAGCCAACATGGCCCTGGATTTTAATATGTGACCCTGGATTTTGGTGTTCTCATTTTCCAACCATTATTCCAGACTGGCTTCTAAGTCACACAGCAAACTAAGAGGTGTTCACAGTGCTGAGTGGGGGCATTGTGAAGCCTGAGGCAAAAGGAAAATTATGTGCTCCTGGCTTTAATGGAAATAAACTTATCAATAACATTTTCGAAATCTACTACCCTGCTCATCTTGTTTTCAACTGAGAACTGCCACATTTGGCAATTTCTCTCGGCCAAGTAATGATCGAAAATAATTTTTAATTAACTTAAGCTGAAGTAAAATAAATTTATGTATTTTTATGTAAAAATTTTCTGATTTTTTAGATAATTCTGTTTTGGTGTAAATATTTAAACTTGAAATGAAGTGAGTTCTGGAAAAAAATTAACCATTAAAACATGTATGTGTGTGTGTGTGTGTGTGTGTGTGTATATATATATATATATATATATAAAAAACCAAACTCATTGCCACCGAGTTGATTCCAACTCACAGCAACCCTCACTGAGTTTCTGAGGTGGTAAATCTTTATGGAAGTAGACTGCCCAGCCTTCCTTCTGTGAAGTGGTTGGTGGGTTTGAACTGCCAACCTTCTGGTCAGTAGTCAAATGCCTTAGACACTATGCCACCGGAGCTCCTTAAAGCATGCATATGTTGCTGTTATGTGCCATCGAGTTGGACCCGATTTATGGTGACCTCTCCTTGGTTTTCTGAGGCAGTATCAGTACGGAAGTAGACTGCCCAACCTTCCTTCTGAGGAGCGGCTGGTGGGTTTGAACCACCAGTATTCTGGTTAGGAGTTAAGTGCCTTAGGCACTACAATACCAGAGCTCCCAAACCATGTATATAGAGGTAGACATTTTCCTTCTGCCTCAGGCTGATACAGCTTCAGTGTGGCACTGGTCTTCAGAAATGTGCTGTTTTGCTCATTATGGATTATTTTGCATTAATTTTATTTGAAAAAAATTTAAACTAAACTATTTTACCTTGATTACTAAGATTTTTGCACTGCCTACAATTTTGTGCCTGGGCTGAGCACTGAAGTGGGGAGAGGGGTGAGTACTGCATTTCACTCACCCTGGGCCCAGCCCTGGGTGCCAATTTCCCTGGGGAATGACTCAACTCTACCTGCACTTCTATGTGAGCGGAAGCCAGTGCCAATCCCATAGTTAGCTCTGCTGTGCAGCAAACTCTCTGCTCCTAAGCAATCCCAGTAATGATCATTCTTTTGTGAAAGGAATGCTAGAAACCAAGGATACTGATTCCTACTGCTCTAATCTGACCACATGCATTGCTGGTAAAACTATGTTCCTTTTAAATCTTGTTTTTCTTGGCCAGCAGAAGATGAGCTGGATTTATCAAGTCAGTATTAAATAGGAGCAAAGTTCTGCTAGTTCTGTTCTTGGTCTAATTTACAGCTCTATCTCTAAAACAGAAAGCCTACTACACAGAAAGATGAAATCAAGAACAAAACCAAATTATCAACTATATTGGTTCCCAGTATTAGCACTGACCAAGCTTTACTTCTATACTACTCCCTTTCAAACACCTCTCCAGGAATCTATGACATTAACACCAAGCCCAAGTGTTCCATTTGAGCTAGATGAAGAAAGGTTTTGCTAACCAGAATTCATCAGACCTCCTCTACTACTTTCTCTGTAAAACAGATGATTAAAGAGTGTTAAAGATCTAAATGCTCAAAAGTCAAATACTGACAAGATTTCCAAAGCAGAAATTAGTGAGCTAAGGGTGAAATGTCTTCAATGCATGAGGATGTAAGCCATGCTCAGCTCTATGATGACATGTATGTACAAATGATACGCAGGTATGTCATTTGCATCACTAGACAAAAAGTTATAATGGTTCAGACTAAAAAATAAATTATGAAAGTGCTTTAGACAGACACGCTAGAGATGCAGGAGGGTGATTGGAACAATTATGACAAAATGCTATGGCCTGACAATGTTTGGATATACCATTGGTGGCCTCAGCAGCGGTGGCAGCGGTCCCTGGGTCCGGAGGGAGGGTGCTGGCCACTAACCCTACAGGAGGGGGTGGGGTATTTTCTGATTCACCTACACAGCAAGAAATCAGAGCAAAGAGAGGTAAAAGAAAAAAGATCCCATTTTTGTTGTACTTTTTAATTAGGAAAAATTTTAAAGTAAATAAAATAGATTGTTGACTTCTCAAAGGAGAAAAACGCATGCTCACTGTCAAAATATACAATACACTGTTACAAGCACAATACAGTAACGTCAAGAAATTATACTATAAACTTAAACTCGTTTGCTCTCAGAAAAAGCTCCTATCTAACTCTTGTGTAAGAGGATGCTGACATTACTGAAAATACAGTAAGACGTTGAAAAAAAAGGGAAAAAAAGCCACCCAGAGAACAGTAACAATCCACACGTTAAATTAAACATTGGGAAATTTAAAGATGGATAATGAAATAAGTCACCTTAAAACAAAACTGAAAGGGCAACAGAAATTAAAGAGGAGGGGGAAGAAAGGAAAGTGCTGCTCTGCCACCCAGTTCCTATCTATCTGTGACAGTCTTAGCCACTTATTACCATTCCTGCCATGACATGTCCTTGACCTGCCAGGGAGTGTTTAACCAGCTCTGCATTCATTTTCTTTGCTTTTACATTGGCCGTCAGGGCATTTTGCTCCCGTTAAAGCCTTAAAGGGAGAAGGAATGCCCAGATTCCCTTCCGGAGAAATGCATACACAGGAAGCTGGGCAGGTTTACACCTCACGTCTGAAAAAGGTACCCTTCAGTCTGTGCACAGAGCTTCTGCAGGTGCCACCCCCATCTCCCAATGCCCCGCAATGCGGGCCAGCCTGCACTCACCGTCGCGACCTCCAGACGCAGTTGCAGCAGCCAGTGTTCCTCCCCAAGAGCACTTCTTCTTCAGCTCCAGCTGCTGTGTGCGCTCAATGGACCTGCGCATCATTGCCTCCAGCCGCTCCTGCCAGGGTACACAGAGCGTCACATCAACGGAGAACAAAATTAGCCACTCAGCCCACCGCACTGCCGTGCCTTAGTCCTGAGAGCGCCACCAAATGGGGCTTTCTGTGCAGCGGCACCAAGGCTCTCTGTACCCAAGACAGCCCACATGTGGCCTCAGCCACCAACGCTGCTCTGAGTGGGTGGAGAGTCAACTCTGCAGGCTGGGGCGTCCCTTCCTTGTCCCCTCCCCCAGGAGAAGCTGCAGCTGAGCCAGGCTTTAATTTGTTTAAGAATAGTGCCAGACAAGCATTAACTCCTTGAGGCCAGTCTCTAACCATTGGTGGGAGAACTGGAATTTTGCTCCAGAACCATCAGCAAGCACTCCGGATGAAGGCATAAAATGTTCTGACTTGAGAAAAATCAAATTGAAATGTAATTTGAATTACTGTAGCCTTAAGCATGGCTTTTTGTAGGAGGATGATATATGACTTTGAGATTATGTAAAACCTCGTTTTCATCTTAGAAATTCTTTTTTAAATTGTGGTAAATATGTATGCAACAAATTATCTGCCATTTCAATATTCTTCATGTGTACAACTCACTGACATGAATTATGTTTATCGTTTTGTTCAACCATCCATCGTAGATCTTCTTAAAGGGGAACTGATTGTTTCTATATTCTAACGCTTTTCTGTTATATAGTATTCTAGGGATAATATTGCGTATTTCAAAATTTAAAAGAGTATGGAACCTTTTGGTCCTAAAATAAAGCATCCATGCGTTACCCAGAGTTGGGTAGGTGGGGGTAAAAAACAACTAAACGATTTTAACCAGAAGAGACAAGCAACAACCAGGTTTCTCTTAAAAGAAAATTTACCAAAAGCATTCTCCTGTATTAACCATATTGTTACTTTCAAAAAGTTGGTCCTGAAAGTTGGCAAATGCTTCCTTGGCTTCAGAGTGAAGCTGTTCTGATTCTGCAAGCCTTACCCACTGCTCCCAGGCCCCGTGACATTGCAAATAACCAAATCTCCTGCCCATCTCCACTGGAGAAGGCCAGAAGCAAGGTAAACTTGACTCTGACACCTGAACTCACATCAAACCAAACCCTTAGGTATTCTAAACCAAACCAAAAAAAAAAAAAAAAAACCACCAAACTCAACTGCCATAGAGTCGGATCTGACCCCTCCTTGGGTTTCTGAGGTGGTATCACTATGGAAGTAGATTGTCCAAGCTTCCTTCTGAGGAATGGCTGGTGGGTTTGAACCATCAGCCTTCTGGTTAGCAGTCAAATAAATGCCTTGGGCACTACACCACCAGAGCTCCCCTGAGGTACTCTGTTGTTGTTATGTGCCGTCGAGTCGGACCCAACTCATAGCAACCCCTCCTTGGGTTTCTGAGACAGTTGTTGTTGTTGTTGTTATTTGCCGTCGAGTAGGCCCCGACCCATAGCGACCCCTCCTTGGGTTTCCGAGGCAGTTATCACTACGGAAGTAGGATTGCCCAACCTTTCTTCCGAGGAGTGGCAGTATCACTATGAAAGTAGACTGCCCAACCTTCACTGAGGAGTGGCGGTGGGTTTGAACCCCCAGCCTCCTGGTTAGCAGCAAGTGCCTTAGGCACTACGCTACCAGAGCTCCTTGAGGTACTCTAGGCACTGGCTAATCCTAGCCTAACTCCAAAGCTAAAAGATGTTATTTTCTCATAGTAAAAAAAAAAAAAAAAAAAAGGGAAGCAAAACTACTTTGGAGCAGCATCAACTGAGGAACCACCACTTAAGGATCTGGAAAAAGGCTCTTTTATTTTGTTTACAAGAAACAAATAAATGTCACTTAAGAGGTGTGTGCACATATTCCTTTTGTCTACACCACAGGAATAAGGTACACATTGTGCTTTTCTGCATCTCAGCCTCCTTCTTCCTCGTAACCTTTCTCTGAATAGCACTTTGCTAAGAGGCAGGCCTCAAGGACCTGTGAACAGAAAGGAAGATTTTTTTTGTCCTCCTTGAAGGCATGGATTTCTATTTGCTAGCTTTTGGCCTGAGACTCTACAATCATGAGTGTGCATTTCCTGGCATAGCCTAGGCCTCACAACCTAGTGCCATTAAATACTGACTGCCAAGCCTGGCAGAGTCTTCCCACAAAAAGGCTTGGAGGGAACAGAACTGCCCTACCCAAAGGTCCCTGAAGTATGGTCACCTGAGACTGGGGCTGACTAGTCATTTTTTATATGGATTGAACATAAAGTAATTAACTGATGAACTACTTTAAGTATTGAAATCTTTCAGCCTACAGTAAATTCAGTATGGGTAGGCTATGGTGGATTTCCTACATGTCAGAAGGACCTTACAAGACAGTCTCTCAAGGGACCAAGGAGACCAAGGAGAACAAAACACATTTAGACTCACAGGCCCAGCCTTAACACCGAATAGTTCTCTATGGGGCTCAATCATCAAGACATTCTTAACCTAGACTGTTCAATTACCCTCACAAAAATATCTGTCTCCCATCTCAATCCATTGAAGTGCTCCAAATTCTACCATTAGAGATTCATTCTTTTGGGCCTTGAACATGCTTATGGAAATGCAGCTCTCCCTGAGAGAAAGACACAATCACTTTGTATTATACAGTCCTTTTGGAGAGATGATAAAAAACAAGAGGTAACCAAACTCTATGTTGTTGTTAATGTTATGTGCTGTCAAGTCGGCCCCGACTCATAGCGACCCCTCCTTGGGTTTCCGAGGCGGTATCACTACAGAAGTAGATTGCCCAACCTTCCTTCTGAGGAGTGCCTGGTGGGTTTGAACTGCCAGCCTTCTGGGAAAGGGATCTACATAGCCAAAGGAAGTCAGAAAGGGGAGATTGGAACATGTCAAAAGCAGGACTTGTCTACGGCACTCTTTTGTCTGAGGTCAGTCTTGTATAGGTCAACGTTGCCCAGTGTGTGCATTTTTCTGTTGCTTCATGTGATGCAATGGAAAGAATCCTACATTTGCAATTGGAACAAATGGATTAAAATCCCATCATAGCTGATCCAGTAAGTCCTTAACCAATACTAACTTCATCTGAATTTGAAGAGGAGGATTATTAACAGGGTAGTTTAAAGCAGAAGCTCTCAAACTTATGCCCTCAGAATAATCTGGAGGGCTTGTTAAAACACAGATTTCTGAGGCTGATCACCAGAGTAGGCCTAGAATGGGGCATGAGAAGCTGCATTTCTAACAGGTACCCAGCTGTTGTTGATGCTACTGGTCCTGAGACCACACTCTGAGAACTACTAGTTAGAAGGAAGACTGAGCATGAGAGAGAGACAAAGTTCAGTCACATCAAGGAAACAGTATTAATAAATATTCAAACTGCATGCTGCAGACTGAAATTCCTGCCAAGTTCTAGTTCTCTTGAGTAGAATCTGATGATCAATAGAGGATGGGGAAAGGACAAGGTGAATTCTTGTCCTTAGAACATCCTCTATTCGCTAGGGCTTAGTGGAAGGAACGAGGGAGCCTCTCGATCAGGCAGACCCCTTGAGCTCTCGCTCTAGATCTGCTGGAATTAACTTGGAAGAGAATCATGACCAGATAGCCTGCTGAGCAGGCCAAGCAGTCCAAAAGGCCTCCTGCAGGGCACGGACTGGGCACTGTTGCCCAGACAGCTGTCTCTGGCAAAAGTGTAGGGGTGGCTGTGCTTTCTACACTGCCCCTACTGCATGCATTCTGGTAGTGACAGTGCAGGGACAAGCCCCGGCATGGCTCTGTGGAGGTCTTTCTTGCCACAATAAGATGCCTACTTCTGGCCAGGTGGCCTTGTAGCCAGCCAGTGCCCACTGAGAGTGGCTAGCCTTCAGCTGAGTGACATTCTTGTTTAGATAAGTGAGTCTAGAAATTTCCCACTTTACTCTCCACCTGGTGGGTTTTGTCAGGTACCAAGCAAGAAGAGTATGAGAAGTTCTGATGCATCGAATGTGATTTGTGGAGTTTATGCTATTCTTTGAGGGAGGGTTTTACTCCTTATCTGCTTACCATGAGCTCCTAAAATCCCATTTTCCAGGGTCACTAGAAGGGAATCTCTCCTTCTCCAAGTGAAGAATGGGAGCACACTATTGTCCCTCCTATCCCAGGCTAAGTGACTAAAGTTTGTTCCAGAGGCTGGTCTCTAAGGTGTGGAATGGCACATGAGGGTCATAGGAACCCACCTTGGGGAGAAGGGAGCCTCCAGCAAAAGAACAAGCTCAAGGTCAGGGTCTCAAGTGACCACTATCTATCCCTTTGCTGGGGATAGCCCTGACCAGCCTCCACCATCCCCCCCAACCCCCGATCTCGAGAGCTCTGGGAACCAGGCCATCTGTGATGACACTTCTACCTCTGCAGACAAGGAGGCCTTCCGGCCTCACCCCCAGAGAAGTGAGGAGTTACCAAGAGCAACATAATAGCAAGCATAGGGACATGAAAGCAGGGCTGGAAAGCTAGGAAGTAGGGGTGGCCTCCCATGAGCTCCTAAATATCAGACCCAGAGAGGTAAGTCTTGGCAGGCAACACATACACAATTTCTGACAGGCCACAGAAGCAAAATGGGCTGCTAAGGCTGAATTCTTCCTGTAGATGCCTGCACTTCTCCCTGCCCAAGAAGACACCTGGCACTGAAAGGATACAGAAGCTCCACAGCTGCCTATCAAGAAGAAGCAGCCCTCCCAGGGCTCAACAGTGAAACAGGGACAACCATAGGGGGTTCCCTTGGAAACGGGTTCCTGAGCTGTAGACCTATCTATCCATCTTACCCAAAGGTCTCCTGTAACAACACCAAACAGGACTCCACACGGGCAGAGCACTACTGCTGCCGTGGTTAACAGGCTAGCCTGGGCTATGGAAAGTCCCTAAGCTACACTCAGATCTCCTAGGGACCTGAGAGTGGGAGCAGTTGGTAGAGGGAGGCTGTTACTTCCTTGGGTGACCACACAACCAGAAGAGGCCCTCTCAGCTGCAATCTGCTGGGCCTGGGCAGGAGTGGGAGGGAAAGAAGCAAG